ACTGTTACTGCTGCTGTTACTGCTGCTGTTACTGCTGTTACTGTTACTGCTGCTGTTACTGCTGCTGTTACTGCTGTTACTGTTACTGCTGCTGTTACTGCTGCTGTTACTGCTGTTACTGTTACTGCTGCTGTTACTGCTGCTGTTACTGCTGTTACTGTTACTGCTGCTGTTACTGCTGCTGTTACTGCTGTTACTGTTACTGCTGCTGTTACTGCTGCTGTTACTGCTGTTACTGTTACTGTTACTGTTACTGCTGTTACTGCTGTTACTGTTACTGGGCCAAATCCACTAATCACTACAACCACCAACCTTTTAACAGAAATCAAACCAACATCTGTGCTGAGAATCCAGCAGTTCCAGGTGAAGTGGCCAATCCGTCCGTACAAGCAGTAAAATATCTTTTTTATCAGAGTGAAAATGAATACGTTCAAGTGCATTAGGACCAACTCATCTGTTATTGTTTTCAGTCCCACAGAGATAATTATGCAGCTGTAATTACCCAGTCCCTGAGGTTAATATCAGCCTCACACACCTGAATCATTACAGTTATTTTCTTCACTAAAAAACGCAGATCAATCAAGTCAAGACTGAACCTGAAATTTTACCCAGTTCAATTTTCACTTCCACGTTTCTTGCCTCGTGTGATGATAATGAGTTTAAATTTTAATTACATGCAGAGCCAGTCTGTGTTCACCACCCCCCCCCCCTCCTCAAGACTCCACCCCAGCGCCCGTGCTGCTGTGCCTCCACCCAGTGTGCTCTAATTGGACGGCTCTGTAGGAGCAGGGTGAGCACAGACTGGCACAGCTGCCTGTTCCTGGAGAAAATCCCTGGATTTTATCAGCACAGCTGGAAGCATTTCTGCGATTCAACATGACGTCGTTAGAGGCTATTTATAAACTGGAAACGTCTGCCAGCAGGGGGCGACACTGCCTGGATCAGCTGAGACACGTCAGGGATATCAGTGGAAATGGCCGACATGACAATGAGAGGATTCTTAATGGAGAAATCAGGCAATAAAAAAAGACAAGAAGTTCAGCGTGAAGAGTCAACAAGTGTCAACAAGTGTCAACAAGTGTCAACAAGTGACAACAAGTGTCAACGCTGTGAATCAAATCGTCTGGTGTGAATTCATCATAACGTTGGTTTGGAGTCTCAACAAATGAACGCTTCTCTGTTCACTGTACACTTTAATGTGACTGCAGGAACATTCATTAGAGTCAACCAGTAGTAGTAGTAGTAGTAGTAGTAGTAGTAGTAGTAGTAGTAGTAGTAGTAGTACAATCCAGCAGGATGTGTACCTAAAGAATAGGAACAAGGTCTGTCCAGTGTTTTTAAATTTTCTCGCTTTTACGTTGAACCAACGTTTTAGGAACAAACGTGTCAATGGTTCAAAACAAAACTGAGTCAACGAGTGACTTCTGGTCTAAGAATACGTATATACATACATATATATATATATATATAGACACACAGTATATATGGTCTTATGTATTTGGTGGTTTGGCAGCAGGATCTTCCTTTTTTGATTGAAATTATTTTCTGTCTGTAGATACGAACCCAAACCTTCACTCTGGTTTGGGTCGAGCTCCACACACACACACACACACACACACTGTGTATCAACCTATTTTCAGAACTGTACCACCTACAGTACGTGGCACTGCCTCCCAGAATACTGGTACTCTGTACAGGCAAATACACCTACAGAAATACTCAAATGTATCTGTAGATATTTTAAGGTAGAACCAAACAGGTTTTATTTGGCAGCAGGATCTTCCTTTTTGATTGAAATTATTTTCTGTCTGTAGATACGAACCCAAACCTTCACTCTGGTTTGGGTCGAGCTCCACACACACACACACACACACACACTGTGTATCAACCTATTTTCAGAACTGTACCACCTACAGTACGTGGCACTGCCTCCCAGAATACTGGTACTCTGTACAGGCAAATACACCTACAGAAATACTCAAATGTATCTGTAGAAATCCGTTCTGGGACTGAGTATTTGATTCCAAGTAAATGTTTATGTTGAGTGGACAGTGAGTGGACAGTGAGTGGACAGTGAGTGGACAGCAGTGTAGTTATAATGAGGTCAGGATCTACAGTAACTTTAGTTCCAGGAAGGTTCACTCCAAACACGGCTCATCTTCAGACCTCTGGGCTTCAGGAGTTTTTCATTAACAAGTATAAAATGTTAAACCGACTGGTGTCTCCTGTCAAATGAAAATCTCTTCCATTAAATGTCCATATTAAATGTCCATCCAAAGACCCCGTCAGCTGCTGATCCTCCCAGCAGCTGACAAGACTAACTGTAGCATCAAATCCTTTAAAGGTTTATGCTTCTTGTCATGTCTGTCTGTTGTCTGTTGTCTGTTGTCTGTTGTCTGTTGTCTGTTGTCTGTTGTCTGTTTGTGTGATCACACTCACCTGTGTCTGTAATGAGCTTCACTTGTGTTCTGTCCTGGTGCTCCCTGTGTATATATATATATATATACCCCTCTCCCTCACTATGCCCTTGTTGGATCATTGTAGTTGGATCATTGTAGTTGACTCTCTTCGTCTTCTCAGCTCTGCTCGACTTTGTCTGTGTTTCTGTCCTGGCTTTTGGAATTTAGAATCTTCAAAATAACCGACCTGCACCAGTCCTGCGTTTGGGTTCTGTTCTGTTTGGGTTCTGTGATTGATTCAGTGTGTATCCTTCATGCCAGCGTTGTCGTAGCAGTTGTCGTACCTGTTGTTGTAGCTGGTGTCGTAGCTGGTGTCGTAGCTGGTGTCGTAGCTGGTGTAGTAACTGTTGTCGTACCTGTTGTCGTACCTGATGTCGTAGCTGGTGTCGTAGCTGGTGTCGTAGCTGGTGTCGTAGCTGGTGTCGTAGCTGGTGTAGTAACTGTTGTAGTAACTGTTGTTGTAGCTGTTGTTGTAGCTGTTGTTGTAGCTGGTGTCGTAGCTGGTGTCGTAGCTGGTGTAGTAACTGTTGTCGTACCTGATGTCGTAGCTGTTGTAGTAACTGTTGTCGTAACTGTTGTCGTAACTGTTGTCGTAGCTGTTCCTCCTTTGTTCCTGGCCAACTACCTTCCTTTTCTCAGCTCTGCTCGACTTTGTCTGTGTTTCTGTCCTGGCTTTTGGAATTTAGAATCTTCAAAATAACCGACCTGCACCAGTCCTGCGTTTGGGTTCTGTTCTGTTTGGGTTCTGGGCGTAGCTTCCTGCCATGTCGACGCCCGCACGTCACACTGCTTTTTTTGATTATTTTCTTCAATCTCACCATGCAAAGATGGTAATTAAATAAAAGTGAGTTAAAAATCATTTGTATTTTTGAAAACATATACTGTATATGACATACATTTGTATTTAATCTGTATTTGTCTTCTCAGCTCTGCTCGACTTTGACATACATTTGTATTTAATCTGTATTTACATATTTTATTGCTCCTGAATTTTCTTTCAAATATATATATTTTATTGTTCACCAACAGATGAGGTTTTTTTTTCTCGGTCATGCAGCTGTTTGAAAACCTCTCAGTTCCTGTTAGTGAAGATAGGATCAGTTGACAACCCCAACATTTTCAATTTGCTGTTATCAGCCTCTGAGGGGAGGTGTCAGCGACCAGAGCCTACAGCAGGAAGACACCGGCGTCTCACCAGCAAGAACCCAGATTCAGGTTCTCTCTCAGCCAAGACGTCTCTTCTCTTCTCAATCCACTTCTGTTCCTTCAAAAAAAACTTCTGTTTCCTCCCAGTGTCGGAGCAGACATCAGCCGCCGTCGTTACACCTATTCCCTTCTGGAGTTTCATTGTATTTTTCACAAATAATTTCCATTCTTGGAACGAGCCTTCACTGACACACGCACACACACACACACACAGAGTTCTGGGTTAAAACGTTGGTTCTTGCCGTACGACCCGATCCATAACAGTTTGTTGTTCTGTTGTTTGTTGTGACTGACCAGTTCAGTCTGTGTTTGTGTCAGTGGCTCAGCAGTGTGAACTGAACTGGTCCTCAGTCGACCTGGGCTTTTACACTTTGTGTTTATAGCTGAGTGACCACTGGTCATGACCTGTCTTCAAGGTCACAGTTAGGGTCAGGTTTATACAGCAGTGGACGGAGCTGGACCACAGACCACAGACCACAGACCACAGACTGTCAACTCTGCTGCTGCTCTGTGTTACGTTTCAGAAATGATTGGGAAGAATTCAACTGGAGGAAAGTTGGAGGATGACAATGACTGCAGTCCAATGAAAACCAGGGATTTAGATCTGGTTAATGACCACAGTCTGAGGAGGTGTGTGTCTGTGTGTGTGTCTGTGTGTGTGTCTGTGTATCTGTGTGTAGCTGCTGGATTCTTGGTTTTATTTTCCCACTGAAGCTAAAACTGTTTTTTTTGTTGTTGTTTTTAAATAACCTTTGTAATGATGTTTTCTAAAACCTCTGATGAAGAGACATTTAAACTGCGTCCAGTATAATGTGTGACCAACTCTGATCATCTAATACACACCAACTCTGATCATTTAGTTCAAACAGGAGTTGAAGCCAGAGCAGGATTGACTTTCTTCAACAACAGTGATGGATGAGATGGATGAGATGGATGGATGGATGAGGACATTCAGTGGTGAACACAGTGTAGGGTTGTTGTTGCTGTTGTTGTTGCTGTTGCTGTTGCTGTTGTTGCTGTTGTTGTTGTTGTTGCTGTTGTTGTTCTGCTCAAAACTAAAACTTTATTTCTTATTTTAAAACAACCACACTGTCGTGACAGTGAAGCCCTGAGGAAATGTGAGTTTGAGCTACGATGGAAACGATACGGAAAAGTTATTTGACAATTTTCTGTGAAAACATTGTATTTCTGGTTGGTGACTCTGGGTGTTGTGAACACACCGGAGCACAGGCCACACCACGGTTCCGTCTCCACGATCCAGCATCACATACAACGTAAAACGGAGGTTAAATATCTGAAATGTTGGCCTCACTTCTGTATTCTTCTCTTTTCTAGTTCCTCCCAAGATATATGACATTTCCTCCGACATCACGGTGAACGAGGGCAGCAACGTGTCGCTCATCTGCACAGCCAGTGGGAAACCTGAGCCAGCCATTTCCTGGAGGCACATCACCCCATTAGGTGAGTTCACCTCACCTTTCACCTCACTTATGCTGATGAAGGGGCGATGGGTAAACACCGTGGCAGACAGAGGGGGGATGAAGAGGCAGGTACTGCAAATGAAGTAGAGAGCGGAGATGAGGACGGAGATGAGGACGGAGATGAGGACGGACGGATGGGATAAAAAAATACAACTTTAGATGAACAAAAGGAGGGAAATGTTCAACTGTGTAAAGGTCGGTGTTGGAGCCTCGCAGCAGAACAGCTGAGGAACAGGAGATTTAGAGTTGAGTCCAGCTTGGTCCTGGGACGGGGACAATACGTCTTTGTCTTCTGGTCCAATAAATACATAAAGTAATTCAACAGAAGACATTCATCTTTAGACTAATACATGTACAGATCCTTTGTAGTTGAATGGTAGTCAGTCTTGACTTTAGCAGCTCCTGCAGGAGCTGCTGTGTGTTCTGTGTTTTTACTACAGTCAGAGTCAGAGACATCACTGAGTGGGAAACACAATATCTTCATATCCAACATAATAAGTCAGGTCTGCGTGAAGTCGTTTTCTTTTCATTCTCCATCCATTTGTTGTACCGTCTTAGGAAACGACCAGAGATGCAGCTAAAGTTTATGCTTATTTCATGGATATTTGACACGTTTGAAGAAACATTTTTCTGCCGCTTTGGCTTTTCATTTGATACAAAAATCACCGCCGCTACCTGCACCTGCGCTTCCTGCCGACGTACAAGGACACGCTGGCTCTGTGTTAGGATCAAATGTCAGGAGGTTGGGTTGAGTTCAGAGTCAGTGTGACGTGAGGCTGTAGCTGTGAGGAGACACTGTAGAGCTGCTGATGTCCAGTCCAGCTGATGATGTCATCCTGTCACCCAAGGCTGTAGCCATGACAACAAGGACCCCCCATCATTATTTCATTAGGTTATGAATCATGGTCTGTTCCTTTGATGCCTTTGGTAATTACAAAGGCACAGTAGTTAATTGATGAATCCCTGGTTATTTTTAACACATTGTTGTAACTGAATGAATCAAAAACAGTCTTTAATCCCACGACCAGCGCTCGTTTACAACACTGACAGTTGAATAGCTGTGCTGTTATCACTGTGTTCGGTGGTCGTCACTCACATCATGACTCGTCCCCGCCCCCCCCCCCCCCCCCCCCCCCCCCCCCCCCTTTTCCATATTAATGGGTTAGAGCTTATCTGATGGCAGCGTGGAGGAGTGTGCTCATCCTCTGAATGCATTTACAGGGAGTTTTTCAGAAGATGATCAAAGGACTTATCTGCTGAGTCCAAATGGCAGTGGCTGCTGCTCCTTTGAAGTGTCCACACTTTGAAGTGTCCCAGGATATAAATGATACCCTGGTCAAATGAAAGGACCCGGCACTAAATGTAATCACAGAGTGTGTGGTCCGGTGCATCAGTGAATGGACTCATTTGGAGTGAGATGTTTGAGCCTGTTGTTGTGGTGCGGCCTGTTCCACTAAAATGTTGTAATAGACTAATGATTTATTGATGCCGTTCCATTTACTGTGTTGGATATGCAAAGCAGTCTGCTCCGAGGAGAGCACACACCTTCTAAATATGCAATCACAGCGTGAGCAAATACTTCCCAGGAAGACGTGACGGGCCCACTGCACCACCGCGTCGGTGCGGGCCTGAAGTCCTGACCTTTGAGCTTGTGGTCCAACCTTGATGGACCAACAACAAGTGAGGACTAGAACAACTGGACTGACTCCAGGTCAGACCGTGTTCAACCCATTTTTAACTCAACTACTGAGTGACATCAGCGACAGTCGAATTCAATTCATCTGAAAATCACCAACGTCAAGAGTTACTCTGTGAAACTACACAAGCATTAAATTAAAGGAAACCCTCAAAGCACAGAAACACAATGAAGCCCTCTCTCTCTCTCTCTCTCTCTCTCGCTCTCTCTCAAACATTCAATTCAAATACTGTGTCAAATAAAGACATTTTTTTAAGAGTTATTCAACTCTTATTAGCAGCCAATCCACAATCAGTCCCAAAAAAGATCATAGACAAAAGTCATCAACGACAACAACAACGTTATTAAACTACAGAAGCTACAGCTGTGAGTCTTGTTTGTTTTATTCTCGTTAACTTCAACAAAGATCTGGGTGGCGGACCACAGTTGTGCTGCGGGTGGGCAGACTGCCGGCCCTGCTCAGCCAGGGCAGAGGGTTTGTTGCCCCGTCACGTGAACGTTCCCACGTGTTCAGGAACTCAATGTCACACTTGAAATATAAAAATGTAAATACATGTTTGTAATTCCCAGAGTGTTTTTCAGAGAGAGAGAAGCTTCATACGTGGACGTTTGTGTGTTTTAAACCTGTTGAAAACACAACATAGAAAATGCAATCACTTCCTGCGTCAGTCGTCGTCCGTGTGATGGACGTGGAGCTGAGGTGTGACGTGGTTGTGCGGTGACAGACCTGGCTACATGGCAGCTTTTATTTCTGAGCTGGGCTGAGCCGTAGATGTTTCTGCTGCAGCAGTGAAGTTTGACAGGATGATAAATTGCCCTGAATGACTGTCAGGTTTTCATTCTCACTCGGACCGTTTTGTGTTTGCATTTTTCATTTTTTTTCTTCTGTCCTCACTCCTGAGCAGCAAACCAGCTAATAACAAATGTATCTGGTGAAGTGTGGGCACCAGTCTGTTTGTTTACCAACAGCGTCTGCCTCTGGGTGTGTGTGTGTGTGTGTGTGTGTGTGTGTGTGTGGATGTCAAGTCAATGAAAACAGTTTCAAACAGGCAACTTTAAGGTCAGAAAGAAAAAAAAAAGATTATTTAAAAGTATTTCTCAATAGTTTTCAAACAACCCAGAGAACTCCATCACAGCAGTTATGACTGGTCGTGGTCTTTGAACCCTCACCCTCACCCTCACCCTCACCCACCCCCACAGTAACATGTACAGTATGTGGTGTCTCCCTGTCAGTCGCTCAAGTCCATAAATGTAAAGTCAGTTTCTGTTGAATCCACTTCAATCCTTGTTGACGTGCCCTTGAGCAAGGGTTCGTCCTCCAACTGAGGCGGAGTCGTAGCTCAGCCACCAATCGGGGAACAGCAGTGTGAAAGTGTGTGAATGGATGCAGTCATTTGTGACCCAGAATGAATTAACTCGCCTAAATTAAATAAAAAGTGAATTTAAATGAGGAACTCCATTAAATCAACTCTGCTGCCAACACCTCCAGAAGGCACTGGATTAGGATGAATTATAATCCCTAAACCAAACTACAGTTTGGAAGAGGCTGTGGTGACGCGTCAGCCTTTAGAAGGACGGTGGATTCACTGGTGTTTCCTAAACACACACAGATCAGAGAGAGAGAGAGAGACAGAGAGACAGAGAGACAGACAGAGAGAGAGAGAGAGACAGACAGAGAGAGAGAGTCTGTTTTAGTTTGCTGTGGTTGACTGGATGGCTGCATGGACAGGCAAACTGCTTTGATAAGTTTTTTTTTTCTTCCATTGAGATTTAAATCTATGGGATAAAAGTGTGACCTTTGCAAAGCCTGACTAGAATATTTAAGTCGATTCTTGATAGTTTCCTGTGATGGGACTTGTTAAAGACACATTTTTATCCCAGCAGCTACTGTACATTTATCAACGCTGGATGGAAAAAAAGAAAAAAGAAAAAAGAAAGAAAGTAAAAGAAATAATGTTCCTTCTTTTGCATTTTCATTTATGTGCATATCTTCCCCTAAACGCCCCCTGAGGGAACAGACAGCCAACATCTCATCTCCAGCTCCTTAAAAACGACACGTAACAACTGAAAGTCTGAAAGTGACAACAGTCAAAACTGCAGGAATGATTCAGACTTCACCAAACGTCAGGGACGAGAACCTTGACTTGACTTGTTTCCCCAGCTGCAACTGTGTGTGTGTGTGTGTGTGTGTGTGTGTGTATATATTTATATATACAGTACATACGGCCCACAGCCCACAGTGGCAGCCCACAGTCCAGTGTGTGTGCTCACAGTCCTGGCCCACAGTCGTAGCCCACAGTCGTGGCCAACAGTCCTGGCCCACAGTCGTGGCACACGGTCCGC